GGCGCGCGTCGGCGCACCTTGCCACTCAACTGGGGGCGACTTGGCTGTCGCTGATGCGATCGGTCTTCCGCGGGCTTAAGACGAAGAGTATTTGGGCACACCGTTAAACGAAGAGGTCTGATCTCCCACGAAGCGCCCCCGTCGACCGAGGTGATGCGCCGGGCCAGACCAGGGCCCACGACGAAATAAACGATAACGCTGTTCGGCGCGGGGGTCCGACACGCGTAAACCAGCGACGCTAGAGCCAACGCGCCTATCTCACGCGGGAAACCAGCCGCCTCCAAACCTTCAGGGGTCACATTCCAATCTCCCGCGACGAAGGCGCGAGCCGGACCCTGCACGGAGCTCCCCAAAGCCTTGGCGGGGAAACAAACAGCCGACACCAGCATCGAGAAAGCACTTGTTCCGCGAATATTTGACTAATGCTTTGGGCTGGCGGGGCCCCGCCCCGGCCCGAGGAAACGCAGGGCGGCCAGGGGGGGGCGGGGGGGGGGGGGGCGTAGCGCAGCAGGTAGGAGGGAGAGCAGGAAACAACCTGTGCAAGCGAGATGAGAAACGGGCGGGCGCTCTCGGGAGATGAGGGGAAAAAGAAGGAAGAACGCGGCATCCTCCATGACCGAAGCCTCACGCCCCCCGCCGCCGCCCTCCCCCGCGCTTCCCCCCGCCCGCTCGCCCCCCTTCATGCCCCGCCCCCTTCCCTGCGCCCGCCCTCTGCCCGCCCGCGCGGCGCCCCTGGCCCTCGACTTGCCCGAAGCCAGCGCCCGATAATTCCGAACCGCCTACTCCCCGCGCAACGGGGTGGCGGCCGCCCTGCGCGTCTCTCGGCCTGGGCCCGCAGCCCCTGGCAAGCTTCCGAAATCGTCGATGGGTTCAGCTCGCCCACGGGGCCGCCGTTCCAGAGGGGGCCACGGTGCCCGCGTCGGCTCTGCGCCGACGCAGGGAGCGAAAAGCCGGCACCAGCGCCAAGACGCCACTGGAACAGTTCAGAGTGCTTTCCCTGTGGCGACCCAAAGGAGCCTGGTAAGCTTGAGATTGATCGCGTTGCTCTCCGAATTTGCAAGTCATGGGACCTGCATGATAGAAAGACGCCCCATGGGATCCATGGCGCCCCCAGGGCCCACGGGGCTTCCATGGCCCGCAGGACTCGCAAGGCCCAGGAACCCGATGTGGTCCTGACGAGTCAGGGAGCCCATGGTACCCGCGAGGCTCGCTGGGCCAGCGCGGCGCATTGGGCCCATGCGCGATGCGGCGCACGTGCGGCCCGAGAAGCCTCTGCGGGACCTGTGGGGTTCATCGGGCCGGCTGGGTTCGCGCGGCCCGCGGGCCTCGCGCGGCCCATGGGAAGCCCGGCGCCCACCTGGATAAATAAAAACGGCCCGCCTTGTTCCCGCACGCTCAGAGCTGGCATTCACGAGCGCGGGGCACGCGAGCCCGAAGACACGGGCGACGGCAGCCAACGGAGTCTATGATTTTTCCTTTTCCAATGGGATCTTGGCGTTGGCGTCGGGTTCCGGTGCGCAGACTTGAGGATGCCCGAGTTGGTCTCGCTGAGGCCTTCGCATGAGCGAAAATATATCGTGCGGAACCATAAACTGTCCAAGGTCTCTGTGCCAAACGACCTGTCCTCCTCCTCCGCCCTCATCAGGCCCTCGCATGCCCATGGCCGCTCTCGCGAAGATGGCAGCCGCCTTTGAGCACTTGCCTTCTTCAGTGAGTCCGGCAGGGGAGAACAAGGCATTGCCAGCCTCTTGCGCGCGCTGCACTCGTCATCTGGCCGACGTAAAACTCCGCGACGCCTGCTCGGGTGCTCCAGGAGGAACCATTGAATGACTCGATGAGGCACTGCGAGGCAACATTATCACGGCGGCCACGCCGACGTTCAGCGCCACGAAGCGGCGGCGCAGGGACACCAGCCGAAGAGAAGGAGATACCCGACACCAGAGAAGGGCGAGCGAGCGCGCTAGCGTTACCCCCCCCCGCGGTTTCTCGGCCTCGACGACCATCTCTGCGCGCGGCCTGTCGAACTCGGCCTTGCCCGCAAACGGGGGGCCTTGCGAGCGGTTGCCAGATGTCCAGAGATCGATTCCTCACTCTGGTCATCGAACTTCAAGTCCATGGGAACAGGCTTATGTCCCCCTCTCCGTTCGGCGCCTGTCCACGGACTGCCGCGCCTTGCGACGGCTGCCTGCCAGGCTGGGGCGGCGTCGCATCTGCCGGCAGGCTGCGGAGGACTCCAGGAAGTGCCGAACCTCGGGGTCAGCTCCAAGCACGAAGGCGCAAAGCCGCGCGGGCCCCAAAAAGTGGCCGGAGGAGGAGGAGGAGGAGGAGGAGGAGGAGGAGGAGGAGGAGGAGGAGGAGGAGAGGGGGAGGAGGAGAGGAGGAGGAGGAGGAGGAGGGAGGAGGAGGAGGAGGAGGAGGAGGAGGAGGCACGAAGGCTGGCTGTCCAGGCGGCGCGGGCGCCCGTTCTGCAAGCTGCTGCATGTCTCCCCCTGGTAGGCCTCGATCTCGACCATGGGCGCCCGCGCCTTCTCCTGCGCCGCGGCGTGCGCCTCCTGGGCCAGGATGACCTGACCTCCCTGGCGCGATCGGCGAGCTCGTCTGCAAATCTGGCCAGCTTCTTCTGCACCTTCGCCATCCTGTGCCCCGAGCTGTTCCAGCGAGTACGTGCTAGCTTCCGATCTGAACAAGGCGTCTCGAACCCAGAAGCATCTGGGCCAGAACGGCTGTAGCAGGAGGAAAAGGGGGAGTGGAGGAGGAGGAGGAGGAGGAGGAGGAGGAGGAGGAGGAGGAGGAGGAGGACAACTAAACCTGCGTAAACTCAAGACCCGACAACGATGTTGGAATGACCCCTCCCCCCAAGCTCATTTTTGTCATATGCCCCAGCATGGGCTCATTTCCACTGGGGGAAGAGCCCCGTTGAGGAGCGTGCCGAAACAGTATTCTCGGGACTCCAACGCCCCCAACGAACCTGACAATTACGTCTTGGCGATCCCGGGTCACGCCTGCACACCACTCCTGGCAATTCAGCACCGCGAGTCAGGATGAGTGTTGCGCCCTGGCAGCACCGTTTCTCGTACGTGCCGCATGGGAACCAATGAGTACCCAACACATGTTTAGAACAAGCGTGCGCGGCACTAAAGCGAGAATAACACGTTGAAACAAACGAGCCACCCTCGATCCGTGAAGTTCCTGCGTTTTGTGTACAAATGCGCGCGGCGCTAAAGCGAGAACCACACTCTGAAAACCAACCGCCCTGGATCGGTGATCCTCTTGACATTTGTTTCAAACAAATGTGCGCGGCGCTAAGACGAGACCAATCCGTGAAGCTCTGTCACATTTATGGGACGAGTATACGGGGCGCTAATGCGAGAGCCGCAGATTGAAATCCACCCGCTCTGAATATGTGAAACTGGTGTCAAGGCTTTGAGCTTCAGGGTCATGAATGGTAAGGACGTCTCAAGCGGAACGCCCGACCCACCCTTTCGACCAGCCTCGGGGCGCGACAGGGGAGAGTTATTCATCAGGAGATGGAGCAGCAGGAGGAAGTTGAGGAGAAGAAGAGGAGGAGGAGGAGGAGGAGGAGGAGGAGAAGGAGGAGGAGGAGGAGGAGGAGGAAGAGGAAGAGGAGGAGACGAGAAGCAGCAGCAGGAGGCCCCAACGGAGGCGCCCCGCGCAAGAGTCCTGCCAGCTCTCTGGGCATAGGGCATCAGTGGTTTAGCGAAATTTGTCTTCTCTGTGCCAAGTGCCAGAATTCCTGTCTTCCCCTGCTCGGGTGATGGGTGTATGTACCGCTCCCTTTTACCCCTCTCCCAGCTGTGGACGGGACGCCCCACGAGGTGTCAGAGGGTACTTGTCGGTTCAAGACGGCTCCAAGAGGGCCTCAGAGAGCCCAAGATGGCCCCCAAGATGGCCCAAGATGCTTCAACATGGTTCAATCTAGCCTCAGACATGCCAACAAAACGCCCCAAGACAGCCCAAAGACGGCTTCAAGTGCGCTTCGGGCGTCCCAAGGCACCCCCCAAGAGGCCCAAATCCTTCAAACACCTGAGGGATTCAACGACGTTTGCCTTCTAGCCTCCTCGCATCCGGTGTGCTTGTGAGGCTTCAAAATGGCCCCAACATAGCCCAAGAGAGCTCGAGAGGGGCCAACGAGGGCCCCAATAGGGCCCCAAGAGCGCCCCAAAAAGGGCCCAGAGATGCCCTTTTTGAGCCTCCGAAGGGGGAGACCTGACGTGAGACCTTTTGAGCCATAGGGCCCAAGATCGCCGCAAGAGGCCTCCAAGACTCCCACGCCGCAGGGTCTGTGCAAGGTTTTTGGATGGCCCAACCCCCTGTAAAGATGGAGCCCCTCTTTTGCTGGTAATGGAACCTTGAACCTCACTGTCTGAAAAAAGAGGGGGGGTCAGGTCCCCCCCCCCTCGAGCACCCAAAGCTCGTGCCGCGTTTCTCCTCCTCCTCCTCCCCCTCCTCCTTGCCCTTTTGTCCTCCTCCTCCTCCTCCTCCTTCTCCTCCTCCTCCTCCTCCTCCTCCTCCTCCTCCTCCTATCCCTATTCCTCCTCCTCCTCCTCCTCCTCCTCCTCCTCCTCCTCCTCCCCTACCCCCACGATGGTCCCAGAAAGTTGCTGGAGGGCTCGTAAGACACATCGCGGGGACATCGACAAAGCCGCCGTGGCACGCGGACATTTGTTAAATGACTAGATACATGTTCCCGCTGTTTTCTGCGCCCCCTTCCGACACGCTTCCACGGCGGCTGTGCAACTGCGTGCTTCTACGCGTCCTTGACTAAGCAACTCCCCTGGCAATCGTTTCTAGATGGGCGTGTGGGGCTCGCGAAGCTTCAAGAATTGGAGGAGGGCGAGCCCCGCGTCTTGCCTCGTGCTCTGGGGGGCTGCTCCGAGGAGGAGAAGGAGGTGGAGGAAGAGGGGGAAGAGGCACGAGGGATGAGCGAGGAGGCAGGAGGGAGGAGTGAAGAGGGAGAAAGGAGCAGGAAAAAGAGGAGCGGGGAGGAGACAGATGAAACGGAGGACGAGGAGAAGGAGGAGGAGGAAGAGGAGGACAAGAGGAGGGGGGAGGAGCCATCCCCCAATCGACGCCTCACACGCGGGAGCCGGGCCTGCACCAAAAGCGGCGGGCCGCGGCTGCACCGCAGAGAGCCCACAGGAAATGGAGGGCGTGCGGCGGGGGAGGGGTGCCGCTTCTGTTGTGGTGCCGAGCACCTGCGGACCGCCCACCTGGAGGACGAGAAAACTTCACCAACAACTTTCGGAGGTCCGCGCGGATCTCTCTCATCGGCGCTGGGTCCCCCTGGCAGCGCCTCCGCGCCGCCCCCAACGCGCTCCGCGCGCCAGGGAAGGGGAACCGACGCAGTTCCCCCGAAAACTCTTCGCGGACCGACGGAAGCTCATGTTTGTGCAATTCTCTCTTCCTCTTACACACCCCCGCGCGTGGAAGACTGCACGCCGGGCTGGTCAAAATCTGCACCGTGTGCATTGAACGGGGAGCCGCTCCGGCCGCCGGCGGTTCCCAACACAGAATCTGCTTACTCAGAAGGCATCTATACACCACCGCCAAGCCTTGCCAAAGACACCCTGGATCCGAGCAGTGGGGCAAGCGCCCTCCCGGCCAAGGCCAAGGTGGTCTGATACACCATAGCCACAAACGGTTTTGAACTCCTCCCCTCAATGATGATAACAAAATATTTGTTCGGAGGCTCACTGAGCGTTGCCGACACACGCCAACACTCGGCGAATGAGGAAGGGAGAAGAAGGAGGAGGAGACAGAGGAGGAGGAGGAGGAGGAGGAGGACAAGTGTAAACAAAAGACTCATCAACGATGTTGGGATACACCCTCCCTCCAAGCTTCCCCATCATAGGCCACATACACGGGCTCACTTCCACCGAAAGAGTGCCCCGTTGGGAGACAATCGTGTGAAAATCCTGAAGCGTGCCTGAACACAACTGTCAGGACTTCAGCGCGACGAGTCAGACTGACTGTTGCGACTGTTGAGTCCTGACAATCCTGGATCGTTCGGGAACACCATTTATGTAAGGTTCACCATGAGACTCCTCGAAACTTTGCAATCGTTTGAAACGAATGTGCGCGGCGCTACGGCGAGAAACCACCTTGAAGAGGAACTGTCCTCAATCCGTGGAAATGATGAAACATGTTGTTGCGAATGTGCGCAGCGCTAAAGCGAGAGCCGCACTTTGAAAACCACCCGCCCTCGATCTGTGAAGCTCATACAAATTTTTGAAAACGAAATGCGCGACGCGAAAGCGAGAACCGCATTTTGAAACCCACCTGGCCTCGATCCATGATATACTTACAACTGTTGAGCGCGAGTGTGCACGGTGTTAGAGCGAGAGCCACACTTGGAAAACCACCCGCCCTCATTCAATGAAGCTCTTATAAGGTGTTTGAACAAATGTGCGCGGCGCTAAGGCGAGAGTCACGTGTATGTTGAAAACGTCCCACCCTCAGTCCGTGAAGCTCTTGCAAATTTCAGAAACGAGCGCGCGCGGCGCCCAAGCGAGAGCCACATGTTTGAAGCGACCCGCCCTGCATCTGCAAAACCGTTGCCGATTTCTAAGCTTCAGGCTCACAAATGGTACGGGAGTCTCGAGCGAAACGCCCGGCCCGCCCTTCCGACCGGCCTCAGGGTGCGACATGGAGGAGCTACTCATAAAGAAGAGGAATGGAAAAAGACAAAAACGAACTGGGGGATGCGCAGGGTCTGCTGCCAGCCAAGGGTTTTGGGGGGCGGGGGGGGCCCGCATTACGAAAGACCTCCTGCGATGGGGCCCACGACGGCCCTGGTCAGACATGGCGGCGCGGCGGTGTATGGCTGCCTTCTGCAGGGGCCGGCCGGAACGCAAACGATGGGCGCGGCGAAGTGCCGAGGAACGTTGCCCAGCACAGTGGTAGCAGCACCTGCTTTAAGAGATCGGCCCCTGAACTTGCAAAAGCCGTGCCGTGGGGGATGGTTGGCAGGACTCACCTTTGATCGGCGGCGCGCCCAGGGGGTCAGGGAGAGGGGACGGGGCTCTTCAGATGACTCAGAAGGCTCCCGGCCTTCTGGAAAGCTGTACGAGCCTTCTCCGAACACAGAGGCTGCATCTCAAAAGGCCGGGGGCCTTCCGAGAAACCGCGCCGACTTCGGAGAAAACCTGCCTACCTCATTTCCACCCTCGGCGCGCCGCCGAGGCCCGCTTTCGAAGGACTCGGCCAAGACAGTGCTCGCACTCGTGCTACGAGGAAGTGGCCGTTGCGGGTGGACGGCGTGCTGCTGCCGCAATGGTGTTCTACACGGAAAGGCCCCCGCCCCACACTTTTTTATCAGCGCAAGCGGTGCCCATCAGCAGAGATAAGAGGAAACGACAGACGAAAAGACGACGCGACAGGAGAGGAGGGAGGGCGCGGGGAGAGGGGAAAAGGGGGGGGGACGGACGCGCGCGCCGCGCATCCGGACCCTCACAAAGCCGCACAGACCTCGACCTCACCCGAGCCCAGCCGGGCCGCAGGCCACACCAGCCAGCATGCGCAGATGGTGGCGCCCGCGCCGCGCACGCTCGGCCGCCGTCGATGACCTGGTGGCGACCCCCTGCGTCAAGGATCGCCATGGCGGCCTCCTGGAACTGGGCCCGCGCCTCGCGGAACGTGGCGACCCGCAGCGCCGGCGCGAGCGCACGAGCCGCCCCCGAGCCCGAAGCATACCAAACCCTCGCGCAGCGCTTGCAAAAACGGTTCCGTGGACGCCCCGCCAGCATCCAACCCGTCGCCCTCCGCCCGCGTGGGGGAGGGGGGGGGGGGGGGGGCAGGGGGGGGGGGGGGGGGGATCCAGGCGAGCCGTCCGCCCGCCAGCGTCAGCGCCTCCCTGAGGCGGGGTCTACGCCTTGGGGGGGCTGTCGCCTCCGACCCGCGCCGTAGGGAGAGCCGGAGGCTGCCTTTCCCGCCAGCCGCGCAACCGTCGCCTACGACCCAAGCCATATGGCGAGGGCCGGAAGCAACGCCGCCTCCGCGCGGGGGTTGGCGGCATCCTGAGGCGGCCATGCTGCGTCCTGCCGTCGCCCTCGACCCAAGCCATGGGGAGGGCCGGGGCAGCTCGTCATCCGAGAGCGCCGAACAGCAACGCCCGGGGGGGCGCCCGCCCAGCGGCCGCCTGCAGGCAGCGCCTGGTGAGGCCCCCCCTCCCGCACAAGCACGCACACAAACAAACAAACAAACAACCAACCAAACAAACACACACACACAAACAAACAAACAAACAAACAAAGGAACAAACAAACAAACAAACAAACAAACAAACAAACAAACAAACAAACAAACAAACAAACACACGTACACACACGCACACACACACACACGCACTCACGCACACACGCATACACACACGTACGCACGAACACAAACACTGTAAATTGACTTCGCGGCTGGCTGATGAGTCGCGCCAGGACTGGAGCCGCCGAGTCGCATGCCGATGGGGAAACCAACGGCCAGGCGGTTGCGCCCGCACACATACACATAAACACACACACACACAAAGCACACACACACACACACACACACACGCACACGCACACACACACACACGCACACACACACACACATACACAGGCACACGCGCGCACGCAAAAGTTGTTCCGCCGCTGGCGATTTGACGCCACAGTGGTGATAGGATCCGCCACCACGCCCTCGAGGCACGAGTTGGAGCGTTCTCAGGCCCATTGATCAACCGAGTGGGGCCTCAGTCTTCAACCCTGAAGATTCCTCCAGGGGGCCGGACCTCGAGTTGCCAAAGGTTCCAGGGCTTGCTGCGTGGCCCCTGGGCTCCCGGCGGAGGACTCTCCTTGGCCCTCGCGCCCCTGGGCCCTGCGCCGTCGCGCCCCCTGCGGGCAAGACAGAACGGAACTCCGGCTCGGGCGGCCGGAGCCACTGCAGCAGCCCGCCCCCCGACCAAACAACGCACGAGGCCGGGGTCGCGGGACTTCTCCGCTGCATGCGGGCCTCGAGGCGCCTGCCAGGGCCGTGCCAGCCCCACTGAGCTTCTCGCGTCGCCGGCACTTTGGAAACCCCGCTTCGGACGCGGGCGGCGCGACGCGCAGGGCGGCGCGCGGCGCGGCGCGCGGCACGGCGGGCGGCATCGCGCACGGCACGGCGCCGAAGTCGCGGCGCTACTCCGGCAAGGGGGGCGGGGCGCGGGCGGAGGCCCCCCCCGCGACCCCCGCTCGGCCGAATCTGGCGCGGCGTCGAAGGGCGGTCGAGATCGATCCAGTGCAGCCCCGCGCGCGACGAGGGCCCCCTGAGCCCTCCTGCCGCTGGGCGAAGACTCACGATGCATGAGGACTCTCCTTGGACCTCGCGCCCCTACCCTGGAATCTGATAGTATCGTTTACATGCGCTGATGGCCTTGGCATGGCCACATGCGCCGAAAGGCGCATGCGTGTATACTCGAGTGAGCACAGGCGCGCGGTGGAAACTGGTTCCACGGAGTTGCATCGCCGCTACTTGTCTTTGTTCGGCAAGCAGTGTTTCTTACTTTTGCTTCTTAGGTAACCGGGTGGTTTTGCACGAGGTTTTGCCTCGTGTCCGCCCCGCGCCCCCCCGCGGGCGCCTCGTGGGCGCCCCATGCGCTGTGCGTGCCGAAGTTTCGCCTCGTGCTCGCCCCGTGGGCGCCTTGTGGGCGTCTAGTCTAGTCCGAGCGCGGGTGGGTTTGCTGAGGTTTCGCATAATGCCCGCCACGTGGGCGCCTCGGTGGTGACGGCTCCAAAGACGGCCTCAGAGGCCTCCAGCATGGCCCCCCAAAAGGCCCCTAGACCACCGAAAGAGGTTCCTTGGAGGGGAACCCGAAACCGCCTTTCGAACCCTCAACCCCCCCAGGCCCCTGAGAACCCTTCATGAAACTCCAGGAGGCCCCCCACAAGCCCCCATGATGCACCCAAAATGCACCAGAAAGCTCCCAAGAGGCGACCAAGAGGCTCTCTGGAGCAACCCACCACAACCGCCAGCTCCCTAAGGGGTCGGCGGTGTGGCGTAAGCCCCAGAATCTGGAGGGCACCTTGGGCCATTTTGGTGGCATCTTCGCGCCCTCTTGGCCCTCTTAGGGCCGTCTTGCGACAATCTTGGGCCGTCTTGGGAGCCTCTCGCGCCGTGTCGGGATTATCTTGGGCCATCTGGCGGCCCTCTTGGGGGCCTCTTGAGCCATCTTGGATCGATCTCGACGGCGTCTCGAGCCCTCTTGGCCAGCAACTCGCCCAACAACCGTGGACCATCATTGCGAACCGCCTCTTTTCGCCATCTCGGGGGTCCTGTTGAAAGCCCTCTTGGGGTTTTCTGGGAGCCTCCGGCCGTCTCGAGGCCATCTTGGGTCGTCTTTCTTGGAGCGCTCGACGACCTCCTCGGGACCTCTGGGACCTTCTCGATACGTTTAGGAAGCCATCTGAATCCGTGTTGGACCCTCTAGGAGACAATGCTGGGACAATATTGGGGCCCTGTTGGGGCCCTCTTGAGCCGACTTGTTGGGCTATGTTGGGCCGTCTTGAGGCCTTCCAAACGCGATCCCAAGACGATGTTGAGAATCTTACATTTGTTAGAGGATGTCCCTGGCAAAATCGCAGCTCTCGCCCAAAACCATACACACAATTATACCTGCATGGCACGAGGCCAGAAAGCGCGTGCACTTTTGCGAGGGCGCGAGATCGCTTGCGTAGTGCTTCAACGCCCTCTTGGTGTCAAGATTCAAGTGCGTATGCAAAAAAGGATAAGAACAACCTGGTGGAAATCAATGCGCATGGCCTCTCAGGGCCTTCTTGCAAATCCGTTGGGAGTTTTTGGGGGCCGTCTGTGGGCCATCTTGAGCCGTCCTGGGGCCCTCTTGGGCCGTCTCGGGGGGCTTGGTCCGTCTGGGGGCCCTGTGGGAGTCTTCTGGGGGTCTCTTGGGGGGCTCCTGTGGCCCTGTCGGAACTCTCTCGGGAGCCTGTTTGCGACCCTCTGGGGGCCCGTCTGGGCCGTCTTGGGGCCCTCTTGGGCCGTCTTGGGGACGGCTGCGGGGCCCTCTTGTGACGGCGGGCCCCTCCGTCGCGCACGTTGTTGGGACGAAAGAAGCGAATACACTAAAGATGCGCGTTCTCCTCAAGAAGGAGATAGGGGGTTCATTTTGCCTCTTGGACGTCCTCTTGGGGGCCCCGTGGAGCGCCTTGGTGCCTGTTTGGCAGTCTTGAGGCCATCTTTGGGCCCTCTGTGAACGCTCTTGGGGCGTCTTGGGATCCTCTCTCGCCTCCCTGACTGAGGCCGTCTCAGAGGTAGCATGTGCGCTCTTGTGGCTGGCTGTCTCGGGCCGCAGCAGGGCCCTCTGAGGCGCCCGTGGGCCGTCTGGGGCCCAACCTGGCCGACAATGGGGTGATGAGTTCTGGGGGCCCCGAAGCCCCCCCCCTCACGCTCCCCCTCGTTTTTGTCTCGCGACTAGCGGATCGCGACGCCACGCGCGCTTGCGGTCACCTCATGCGGCGATGCGGTCAGCGCCGAGCTGCGTGCCTGCGGGCCAGGGGGGGACAGGCCATGGGAGTGGCGGGCGACGAGACCTCAGCCGCCACACCCGAACCGCGACGGGGCCCTCGCCCCTGACAATGGACATGCCGTGGGATGGGGCGCAGCGGGCTCGAGACAGAGCTGCGTGGAGTGGGGCCAGGGAGGCGCGCGGGCTGGGAGCGCCCGCGGGGATAAGGGCGCTTGGCACGGGGCCCAGCGCTGCGCGGGCTCGACCTGGCGCCGCGAGGGATCGCGCCTCGCGGCGTCGCGGTCCCGAGCGCGCCGCGGCCGATGGCTGGGCGGGCAGGAGGCCGCCTGGCCGCTGAGGCAGATTTCGAAAACCTCAAAGCCCTCGGATCGCCGGGCCCCAATCAGGAAATTGTCGAGGTCCTTGGCGTCGTGCAGGGCAAGGCTCTGCAGCCTTCAAATGATGTCGCACCACCAGCTCCACGCGGCCGCCGCGGCGGCGCTGGACCCCTGGAAGATCTTGATGCACTGAACGGCAGGCGCGTCGTTGGAGTCGGTATGCTGATTGAGGCCAAGGGCTGGGGGAGCCGCGAGGCAGCCCCGCTGCCAGCGCCGAAGGCAGCCGCGGTCCAGGGATCGAAGGCGGCGCAGCGCTGCTTGCGCGGGCCCAGCTGTGCCCATGGTGCTGGGAGCGGCTAGTCCAGCCGTCCTCCCGGCTAGAGATACGGGGGCGGCTTCCCCATGGCGTTCCTTCGCGCGCGACCGGACCAGGCAGGGTACCACCCCAAGCTCCAACCGGTGGCCGAGTACGACGGTGCAGCGGCGCCAGGGCTGGACGCCGCGCACACACACACACACACACATACGCACAGACACACACGCACACACAAACGCACGCAGACACACTCACACACACATACACACACACACACCCTTTTTGGCGTCGCGGCCCTGCGCGCAGCGACAGGGCGGAGAGAAGGTCGTAAAGCAGCGAACGCGCGTGCGCGTCTAGAAACGCCCCAGCCCTCAAGGACCGTTTAGAGTCCCGCAGCGGCCGGCAGCCATAAGCCATCCAAGCGTGGATGACGGAGTGAGCGGAGGAAGGACGAGACTACGGCGCGGTGGAAGGTGGCTTGAATGGCGGGGGGAGCGAGTAAGCAGCGTGGACCAACAAGGAGACCAAGACCGACCTGGAAGCCCCAAAGGGCGGGGGGGCCACAGCCTACGGTGCGCCGGGTGCCAAGGCCGGCAAACGCCAGCAGAAGGGCATAATGAGCGGAGGCGCAAGGAGGCCGCGAAGGCCTGGCAGCAGGCGGCGAACACACACACACACACAAACACAAACACAAACACAAACACAAACACAAACACAAGCACACAAACACACACACACACAAACACACACACACAAACGCACACAAACACACAAACACACACAAACACACACACACACACACACCGTGTCCCACACACAAGCACACACATGGTTCCACACGCATGGGCCTCCCGCTGCAGGAATTCGCTCGTTTGCACTTGTCTAACTGCTCGGGGTCCAAGCGTCGGTACCTCTTTCCGACGTATTCGCAGAAATCTGGCCATGATATCGCTTTGTTGGACTTCCAAAAACCCCAGACGCCCTCCCAACACCACATGTTGCTGCGGCGACTGCGATCTTCCCGTGGCCCTCCTGGACAAGACCGTAAGGCCCGTGTGGGCAGGTGCTCTCCAAGCACCTGGGAGCCACTGCACCCCAGGAGTACAGGTCGTGGCGGGAAGGTCGGGCCCCGCGCACACAGCGCATGGCTGGAGGACCCGGACACGGCGTGAGCACACACACCCAGAAGTCCGCACACGTCTCTCCCACCCACACACATACCCTCCCCCCTCACCCCGCCCCCCCTTCCCCCTGTGCCCGGCCCTCGCCTCCCCCCCCCCGCCTTCCACCACTCGAGCAGGGGACCGACCGTCCTGGCCTTTTCCATAGGCCCACCGCGACATGTTCTCAGAACCCCCCAAAGGTGTTCCGAGAACCGAAACAATGCTCTTAGAACATGAGCTCCACGTGTTAAAACAAGACAGTCTCGGCCAGAAATGTTCTAAGAACATCTCGTGCAGACCACAAAAAGTTATTAGAATACTATTTGGTGGGCCTCTAGGCAAGCCAGGACGCTTCGCCACTGCTCGAACCACCACACAAACAAGAAGCAGCGCTGGACCCCTCCATCGCGCGCCAGGGGTGCGGGGAGGGGGGGGTCCAGCGCTGGTCCGAGAAGCCCCGCTGCGGACGTCCGAGGCTTCGTGATCATGCTGCTCTGGGGCCCTCCGATCGCAGAGCTCTCTAAACGGAAGCCGGAGGAACCTGATGCGGCAGGCGGCGGCGGCGGCGGCGGCGGGAAAGCCCTCGAACAAGTCGGCGGGCGTGTGTGCAGCACGAATTCAGGCCGACGCCACTGGAGGCAGCGAGACCCCAGGCCCAGTGGGCGTCGGCGGCTCCATCATCTGGCCCGCCCAGCGGAGGAGCACGGAGAGACTGGGGAGGAGAATAGGGGAGGAGTGGCGCGACGGAGATGAGAACGAGAACGAGACGTGGGGCAAGGACGAGGCGGAGTTGGAGGAGAATCGGGGATGACAGGGCGAGAGGGTCGACGGGGGTGAGGAGGACGAAGCCGAAGCGAGGAGGGGAGGACAAGCGAGGGAGGATGACGAGGAAGGGAGGGGAAGGGTGGGGGGTGGGGAGCGGGAGACGTGGGGGGTGGGGGTGGGGGGGGCGAGCGCAAGGGGGAGAGGGCAGAGAGGGGGGGGGGGCGAGAAGGAAGCGAGGGAGCCTCGCAGGGCGCCGCGCCCTGCGCGAGCCGAAGCCCCCGCTCGGTCGGCGCCCGACTCAGGTCCTGCCCTCCACGAGCCCGACGAGCTGGCCGCGCGCCTTGGCGAGGTCGCTCATGAACTGCTCGGGCGTGAGGTCGCACCGCGGCAGCCTGCCCCCAGCGCGGCAACCGACGACGACTAGGCTGACGACGAAGCTGACGACGACAGCGCTGACGACGCTGACGCTGACGCCGACGCTGACGCAGACGCTGACGCTGACGCTGATGACGACGAAGACGACGACGACGAAGACGACGACGAAGACGACGACGACGACGACGACAGCGACACTGAGGACGACACTGAGGACGACACTGACGACGACGGCGACGACGACGACGACGGCGGCGACGACGACACTGAGGACGACGACAAAGACGAAGCCGACGCTGGCGACGACGAGGCGGACGACGACGAAGACGACAACGAGGCTGACGCCGACGACGACACTGACGACGGCACTGACGACGACGTTATCGATGACACTGTCGACGACACTGACTACACTGGCGCCGACGACGCCACAAACGCCGACGACGACGGCGACGACGACGACGACGGAGACACTGACGACGACCACACTGACTACGACACTGACGACGACACTGGCAGCGGCACTGACGACGACAAAGACGACAAAGACACTGAGGACGACGACGTCGCCGACGACGACGACGCTGACGACGACGAGGCCGACGACGACGACGAGGCCGACGCTGACGCTGACGCCAACGACGACGACGACGACAACGACGACGTCGCCGACGACGACGACGCCGACGACGACGACGCCGACGACGACGCCGACGAAGACGCCAACGACGACGACGCCGCCTTCGACAACGACAACAACAACAACGACGACGCGACGGCGACGACAACGACAAGGAGGACGAGGAAGAGAACGAGGACGAGGACGACGACGACAACGGCCGCGGCGGCGACGGCGGCGGCGACAGTAGCGGCGGCGGCGACGGCGGCGACGGCGGCGCGGCCGCCTGTCCCGGACGTGGCCTAACACGGTGAGCGACTTGGTCGGGATGAACGGGAGGGCGGTCTGCTGCCTGGGCAGGGCGCCCGGGTGCTCGTCCGAGTCCAGGGGCGGGTGCGACAGCATCATCAGCTCGCACACGCGGCTGTCCTCCTCGTGGCGCGTGCCGCACACGGGGTGCACGTCTCCGAGCATGCCGTAGAACACGCCGTCGGGGAGGCCCTCGGCGGCCTCGCAGCGGATGGTGTTGAAGCCGAACTTCGACATGAGCGGCGTGCCCTCGCCGGTGAGCTCCACGACGCGCACTCGCTGCGCCTTCCTGGCCGCGCTCTTCGGCGCGCCAGAGAGCAGGTAGGTCTTGACCAGGCCCACCACGAGCACAGCGAGCAGAAAGACGGAGAGCTCGAACGTCTTGTCTCCGAAGCCGGGCAGGGACACCTGCGAGATGTAGATCACGACCACAGCGATGGCCTCGCCGATGTTCTTCTGGACCGAGTCCAGGGCCTGTAGCAGGTACATCGTGCTGACAGTCTTCACCACGAAGGAGAAGGTGACCACCCAGGTCGCGGGGGTCCAGTGGGCGAGGAGGCCGCTGGACCTCACCTTGGGATCCATGATGCACGTGAGCAGGGAGGCGAACATCCAGGTAGTCGACAGGCACGAGATCTTCGCCGGCAGCGACATGTTCTTGTACTGCTTCAAGTACTTCTCTGACAGCACCGCGCAGTAGCACGACGCCGCCACCTTTGCCAGCGTGCACACGACGCCGCCGATGGGCACCGAGCTGGCACCCCCTCCGCCCTCAGCGCTGTCCATGTCCACGAGCACAAAGGCCGAGGTGGAGACGAAGAGCGCGACCAGCACGTGCCACTGCAGCGCGGTCTGCCTGGTCCCCTTGAGCCACCACACGAGCAGGGCGGTGATCAGCAGCTTCGTCTGCAGGAGCGTCTGGTACACGCCACCGCTGAGCGAGGACATGGACAGCATCTCCAGCGTGTCCCCGAGCGCGTACACGACGCCGATCATCCCGAACACGGCCAAGCACTTCGGCTGCCAGCACTCCCTGACTCCGGCCACGCCGTCGCCCATGAACGCTGCCAGGTTCATCAGCACAATAGTCAGGAGCTTGTTCAGGAAGACGGGGGAGTTCTTTGCGTAGAGGATCTTGCCCCCCTCCTTCGAGGCGTCAATGAGCAGGGGGTGGAGGGCGCGCGTGGCAATGAAGAAGGCGAAGAGGCCCAGCTTCATCATCGATGCCCGGCGGGGGGAACTGGCCTCTGCACGGGCAAAGAACGTCTTCAGAGGTCCCTGGAGGTCCCCGTAGGCCTCTAGAGGCCAATGGAGGCCCGACCCTGGGCCACAGAAGCCAAACAACAAGCCAAGGCGGAGGAGGATGACGACGACTACAACGTCGACGGAGGAGGGAGAAGGCTGAGAGCGTAGGGAGGAGGCCGAGGAGGGAGGAGGCTGATGCTGCGAGTCGAGAGGATGAGGAAGTGGGAGGAGGGAGAAGAGGACGAGGCGGGCGAAACTTGTAAGGAGGAGAAGGAGGATGAGGAGGAGGAGGAGGAGGAGGAGGAGGAGGAGGGAGGGAGAGGAGGAGGAGGAGGATAGGGACGGAGGAGGAGGAGGAGGAGGGAGGAGGAGGAGGAGGGAGGAGGAGGAGGAGGAGGAGGAGGAGGAGGAGGAGGAGGAGGAGGGGGACGACGGTGGCGCGCCTGTGTGCGGCGCGACGGGAAGAAGGCCGAGACTGTCCTCCCCTCCCGGGAGAGAAGGCCAGAGAGCTGCTTCTGCAGCATGCTGCCCGGCGGCTTGGCGCACCTGGCGCGGGAAAGGAACGCCCCTCCTGCTAGTTCGCGGGGACGTACGGTGTGGGGCAAGGGCAGCGGTGGGGTTAGACGAGAATCGCTCTAGACGGCCCCCGGGAGAAAAGGAATGTGAGAATCCACCGGGGTTCGTCCCGCACCCCCCCCTTGGATCACTCCCCTCTGCGAATCCCCGACGGTTTGGCATGTTGGAAACGGGTGCCGGAGGACAGGTGCCCCGGATTTTTGTTGGCCGTCTTCGGGCCGGGCCCTCCGCGGGCCCCGGGAGCGTCAACAAAATCGGGCAGGATGAAAGGCTCGCCCTGGGGTAAGCCCAGGAACACAGAACACGTTTCCCTGAGGACCATTCCCTGCATGCCAATCCTACGGACCTCCTTGCCCCCCTTCCTCCGCCACATCCTGCTCGCTTCTTCCACTGCTGGACCTTTTTAGCACTCCCCTTTCTCTTCCTACTCCTTATCCGACCTCACACTCCACCTCCTCCACCTTTCCCCCCTCCCCCTCCTTAGCCTCCCTCTTCCTCCTCAGGCTGGCACTGGGCACTGACGGCAACAGGATCCCTGACGGCAAGAGGATCCGTGCTGTCATCCTCCTCCTCTTCCTCCTCTTCCTCTTCCTCCTCCTCATCATCCTCCTCTTTCTCCTCCTCATCCTCCCCGAACGGCTCCTCGTACTCCACATCTTCGATCTCGTCACAGTCCTCGTCCTAATCGTCTTCACCCTCCTCTTTCATCCCCCGATTCGCCCTCTTCATCGTATGCCATCTACACCTCCTCTGCATTCTTCATCCTGCTCCTCGTGCTTATCCTCTTCCCTGGCCTCCTCCTAATTACGTACCTGTCGTCGCCCTCCTGAGCACCTACCTGGCTCTCGTCGTATTTCTCCTCCTCCTCCTCCTCCTCCTCCTCCTTGCCCCCCTCCTCCTCCGCTGACCGTCCTCTTCCTTTGGTTTGCTCTCCAGGGAGGCTCTGAGTCCATGCGCCTGGCGCGAGGGGTGCGGGCTCGGGAGTCTCGTGCGCAGATCGGCCTGAAGTCAAACAGCTCTAGGGGGCGCAGTCAGGAGGGAGGAGGAGGAGGACAAAGAAGACGGGGAGAAGGAAGAGGAGTAGGAGGAGGATGAGGCGAAGGCGGAGGCGGAGGAGGAGGAGAAGGAGGAGGCACGAATAGCGAGGAGAGGGAGTGGCATGCCCACCGAGGGGCACCGAGGGCCCAGGTCACCCGTCGGCATCAGGGTCGAGGGAGATCATGAGGATGATGACGGATGGGGAAAGAGGAGGATGGATAACAGGGACGAGAGAGGAGGAGAGGTAGAAGCGGGGAGAGGGGGGGAATATTCGATTCGAGCAAGCCGATCGCGCTATAGCGTCAGCCGTAGGACGCAAGCGGGACCTGGACCCCACACGAGGCAAGCATGTGCAAGAGTGGGAGCATTCGACTGTTCACCCTCCCACCTGTTCTAAACCTCCCCTCCCCGATGGCCAGCTCGAAAGGCGTCCTGTGGAAGCAGGGGGAAGCAGGACGAGCTCAGCGGCCCTTCTGGCAAGCACCCGCAGTCGTCAATGCCGAGGGTCCCGCGGACCCTCCATGTTCTTCGAGGGCCATCACTACGGCCGCGTGGTCCCTCCTTGGGTCTCGTTGGCTCACTCAGGGTCCCCATCGTCCTTGCCGTAAGCCTCCTGAAGCCGTCTGTTTGCAGACTGCCCGATGAACTCGGAACCCCATAATGTAAAGATCTCACAAGACGGTCCGCCCCCCGGTGGCTCTCCCGAGACATCCCTGGCCAACGGCCCCGGGTCCGAAAGCCGTCCGCTCATGGGGATACAACAAAAGTGCCGATACCGCTACACCCTGGACCTCTCCTGGGGCGCGTTCTGACCAATCATTTCAAGCGGAACTCAGCGGTGACGACGAGGGCCTCCCAGGAGGCCCCGAGTGGCGAAAACGAGGCGCGGGTCGCGGTGTCGGTACCTCCTCCTCCTCCTCCTCTCAGCTCACCCCCCCGCCGTCGTCGTCTGACCCAACGGCCATGCCTCCGACCACCGAGCCACGCTGCCCCCCGCGAGGCTCCGTGCCCGCCCCCGGGGCCCTCTCGGGTCTTCTCGGCCCCTCCGTCGGGGATCGTCTGGCCCGGGTCAGCCCGCACCTGGGCCAGTCATGCCTCGCAAAATCCTGGAAGCTCCTGCGCGATCCTGCACCCAAGCCCGGGTCAGTGCGCAGGAACATGCAGAATCCTGCAGGATCCGGCGCCCAAGCCCGGGCCAATGCGACCCTGGCCCTGCAGGATCCTGCAAGCTCGGGCGCTGTGGCTGACCCCCGTTTGCATTGACCCCCGTCTCAAGGCCGGGAACTCCGTCTGGACTCTGTGGCACCGGGCCCCCGCAGCCAGAGAGGCCCCAGGACCCCGACGCCATAAGGACTCTCCAGGGTGGGCCCCCCCGGAGGTCTCGACCCGTTCCCTGGGCCAGCTCTTCTTCCTCAATCCCTCTTGTCCTCCTCCTCCTCCTCCTCCTCCTCCTCCTCCTGTTCCTCCTCCTCCTCCTCCTCCTCCTCCACTTCTTCCTCCTCCTCCTCCACCTCTTCCTCCCTTCTCCTCCTCCTCCTCCTCCTGCTCCTCCTCCACGTGCGCCCCGAAAATAGCAAGAAGAACCGGCCGTCGTGAGTCTTGCCAGGACGCGAGGGGGTCTGGGGAGCGCTACGGACAGAACCTGAGGGCGGGAATCGGAAAATCGGATCCAGATTGGAAGGCATCGGGATCGACGTGTGCCAACGCAAGCTGAGGCATACACGAGGAAACCCAAACCGAAGTCGGAATTCGGAGTCGAACTGAGTCGGAATCGACATCTTCGAAGTCTAGTCGGTTCGCATCAGCAGAGTCGAGCTGGCTCCTGTGAGGGTGCCCGCTGATATGCCTGCAAGACGACCACGACGCCATGATTTGTTCATGACGACGACCGTTAGAATGAAGTCGAGCATGTCCTCCTGCAGGCGGATTCTGGGAGAAAAACAAGACATCGTCAAACGATCATGGAAAATAGTCAACAGAGCACGAAGCAGCGTCACCAGACTATCTTCAAAACTGTTCTTGAAGTATATGCCCGACCTGACCCTGCAGCAGTCTCAACCCAGTGCCCCGGGGCCGGCCTTCCACCCCGAGCCGTTCCTCTCTTCACGGCGCAGGACAACACAGTGGCTGACGACCCTCCGCCGTGCGTTCCGCATGGCCCCGAGGGGCTGGGCCCAGGAGCAGTGCACCTGCTTCCCAGGCCGAGCCACCGATCCTGGGACCCGGGCGGGCCTGCCCAGGACCAGCGTGCAGCCAGGACGCTCAAAAGGAAGAGCCTCTTCAAGGGCTCCCAGTCTGCAGGCTGCTGGCGAAGTGCGGGAGAACACTCTGAGGGCTCAGGATGGGGCTCTGGTTTTCTGGCGAGGACCCCCCAGCGGCCGAAGCCAGCGAGAAGCCTCCCGCCGGGCCGTCTGCCAGGCCCCGAGGAGGGGCTGCGGAGCGACTGGCGCCCTGGAGCGCCCAAAAGTGTGCCGCGGCCTGCGCCGGGCTGCCCCCGACGACGGCCGCACCGAGTCGGCCGCTCGCGGCGGCCTCCCCACAGTGGCGCCTCGCGAGCGCGCAGATCGTCTCCTCCTCCTCCTCCTCCTCTCTCCTCCTCCTCTCCTCCTCCTCTCCTCCTCCTCTCTCCTCCTCCTCCTCCTCCTCCTCCTCCTCCTCCTCCTCCTCCAGATCCTCCTCCTTATCCTCCTCCTCGGCGCTGGTCGACATGTCGATCGATTTCCATCACCCCGGAGATGCCGTTGTCGACACGTTGGCCGAGCGCTCCGCCTCAAAAATATTGAAGAATGCAGATCGTTTTCTGGTCGCAGCTCTGGCAACAGACCGATCTCAGGCGTCTAGATACTTTAGACTAGCGCGTCTGATCATGTCCTGTCGCTTGGCGTGCATCTCAGCTCCGTGGCTCGCCTACCGCTCGAATTCAGTAGAGAAAACAAGCATTAGGGCCTCCAAACACCTCCGAAGCCTCTGACGGGTCAACCCAAAGCGCGCCGGCCCCGCCAGTACAGATACACGAAAGCATCGGCTCAGAAGCGAGCAGCGCGCGCGGAGACACTGCCGAGGGCCACTCTCACTGAACATCGGTCCCCAAGCCCCTTCTGGACCTCTTCCCGACCCCTTTTTCGAGCTGCTTCCAACCGCCCTCTTCTGACATCGGCGCTTGTCCTCGATTAGTCAGCCACCAGCGCGTGCGAGTGCACTCCAAAAACGGAATTGCGAGGACAAGCGAGGCTCCCACGAATTTTTTCCGCCGAAGCCTCCGATGCCCCAAAAGCCTGGACGGCATCGACCGTGTACCAGACCAGCTTGATGCAAACTGCCGCACGTGCCAGCTCGCATGGAAGCGCGTATTGAGGTGGTCTGGTAAACAGCTTGTGCCGTCTACAAAAAAGCAGCTGCCACACTTCATCTTGGGGGCGTCGCCGCCGCGTCGGGGTGGAGCGCCAGCACCTCTTACAAATCCGAGAGGGGCCCTGTGGCAAGAGGGCTGAACGACAGACGCATGGACGGCACGACCGCGTAAAACGCGGGGACGAGGGGGAGGGGAGAGGGGGGGGCCAAGCTAGGCGCGCAAGCGTCATATCTGACGTCTTACCCCTCCCTCCCATCCCTTACTATTGCATAGATGCCCTCTCTAACCACACAATCGGATTTCGAACAAGACAGTGGCCCCGACAGCGTACGCGAGGCATGGTATAGCACGGCGTAGCACGGCATTGCGTCGAGAACGCGACTCATTTCGACAACAAAGTCACAAGGATAACATAAATATGCAGGACGGGAAAGTGCACATGGACGGTTTGGAAAGCAGGAAGCGCAAACTGAGATCGGCATTGCAGCGGGAGCACGATTTCGAAAACCCGAACCGCGGAACTGAGATCTCCGCTGCAGTGGGAGCACGATTTGGACACCCTTGAAGCGCAGACCCGGAGCCAACGCTTCTGCAGGAGCACGACTTGGAAGAGCCGAAATAATGACATGAGGTCAGCGCTACAACGGGCGCGTGACGTGGAAAACGTGAGGACGGGACAATGGGGCCAATGCTGCCACGGGAGCGCCATTCAGAAAGGATCGAACATGTCCATATGGGAAGAATACACAAACTACGGATTATCAGCTCGGCGCCATCATGTAAAACAAGACGCGCAGGAGGCCAGGGCACCTCACCGCCGTCTTCAGGGGAGACAAAAGACGAGTCTCTGTTGTGTACATGTGGGCGCGAGCGCCGCGCAACAGGGCCTTCAAGGGGCCACATCTGCGGGGGAAAGTGACCGCTACTCCCCAGACCCCCCCCCCCCGCGTGCGTGCTGACCCGCATTTCCAGGAGTACCCAAGTGGCGACGAGGGCTCTCCAGGACGGGCACCGGCACTGGTATCGGCACCTTGTCCTCCTCAGAATACACAGCTCGAACTCAGCCGCGCCTGGCCAATTTCGCATGAGACCCCCCCGCCATGTACTGAGAAATCGTGATCTCGCCCCAATGCTGGCCTCAATGACGGCCACGGTGTAGAACACATCGCACCACGCATGGCCGTGCTCTCACCCCTGTGCCGGCTGCATATTTTCTTTGAGGTCGCTCGGTCCGGTGGTCGAACCAATGCCAACGACGGGAGGGCTTCGCTATTTCGGTCCCTGGGGGCCCTCGACAGGCCCCTGGACGGCCAGAAAACAACTCGGGATGGAAAGCCCGCCCCAGGGAATGGGTCGCGACGTCCGGGGGTCGACGTTGCGAAGCAGATCATGGCGTCAGGGGTCTGAGGCGGATGGGGGCGGGCCGCCCCAGACGGCCTCAGTGGCCTCCAGCCTGCTGAGAAGCTCTCGGCTCCCACAAAAACGCAGAGGGCTTCTCGGAAGCCCCCCCCTACTCTGAGAAGGCCTGCCCCCTCTCGCTTCCCCCCTCGGCGCGCCGCCGAGCGGATGCGAGCGCCAAGTGCTGCCCTCGACCCTCGAACGCCGACGGGGCGGAGAGCGGCCCATGCCC